TCATAACCAGTTTTTGGATTGGATTTATGACCCCTGGACCATTCTTGCACTGCATAGGAGTGACCCCCATCAAGTTGTTGGAAGTAACTAAGTAACTTCTACTTTAAGTACATTTTAAACCAACAACTTTTTACTTGAGTAGATTTTTTCGATGGGTAGCTTTATTTGTACTTAAGTAGAATTTCATCAAAGTAAAGGTACTTTTACTTGAGTAGAATTTTTCAGTACTTTTTACACCCCTGCCTAACAGTCTTTCCACAGAATCCCTCGCTATCAGATCAATATTTAATTACTTTTGATTCCTTCTTACTTGATTACATGCCACTCAGCAACAGTTACAATACTAGATGTTGCTGTTGTCGCAAAATTTAAGGAAATGATTCCATCGTCGTTAAATTTAATACCATGTACTTCAGTAAGTTTAAACTCTCTCGAATTGATCATCTTATCGATAGCACCGTAGGTTTGCTTCGAACAACACTCGACCCTGTAGCACTTCTTAAAAATAAGTTAACAAAGCAAAGAAAGTTCGCTCCTTGGTACAACTCTCAAACCCGTAAGTTAAAACAAATATCACGAAAATTTGAAAGGAATTGGCGATTAACCAAACTGGAAGAATCTTGTTTAGTCTGGGCAGTCTCAAAACGTATAAGAGGGGCCTCCACAATGCCAGAGCAAACTATTACTTAGCATTAATAGAAGAAAATAAGAACAGCCCCAGGTTTCTTTTCAGCACTGTAGCCAGGCTGACTGAGAGTCACAGCTCTATTGAGCCTTGAATTCCTTTAGCCCTTAGCAGTAATGATTTTATGAGCTTTTTTAATGACAAAATTCTAACTATTAGAGGCAAAATTCATGACCTCTTGTCCTCAGATAGTACTTATTTTTCCTCATACACAGCTGTAATACCTAATATATATTTAGATTGCTTCTCCCCAATTTCTCTTCAACAATTGACCGCAATGATTTCTTCATCTAAATCATCAACATGTCTTTTAGACCCCATCCCAACTAGGCTACTTAAGGAAGTCTTACCTTTAGTTAACATTCACTTATTAGACATGATCAATATATCTTTATTAACAGGCTATGTACCACAGTCCTTTAGGGTAGCTGTAATTAAACCTCTTTTAAAAAAGCCCACCCTGGATCCAGAGGTGTTAGCCAACTATAGACCAATATCTAATCGTCCCTTTCTTTCAGAGATCCTTGAGAAAGTAGTCACAGACCAGCTGTGTGACTTTCTCCATGATAATAATTTATTTGAGGAATTTCAGAGCCAAGATTTAGAGTGCATCATAGCACTGAGACAGCACTAGTTAAAATTACAAATGATCTTCTGATTGCTTTCAGACAAAGGACTCGTCTTTGTACTTGTTTTATTAGAACTTAGTGCGGCATTTGACACAATTGACCATCAAAATCTGCTACAGAGACTGGAACATTTACAATTGTACTTATCGATGAAGCCAGAAGAAACTGATCATTTAATTAACCTTCAAAATTGCCTCAAAGACATTAAAACCTGGATGAGCTCCAATTTCTTTATGTTAAATTCAAACTTAAGTTATTGTTCTTGGCCCCAAATACCTCAAAGACTCGTTATCTGATGACATAGTTTCTCTGGATGGCATTGCTCTGGCCTCTAGCACTACACTAAGAAACCTCAGAGTAATATTTGACCAAGATTTGTCTTTTAATTCCCATTTAAAATAAATCTCACAGACTGCATTTTTTCATCTGCGTAATATTGTGAAAATTAGGCCTATCCTGACCCGAAAAGATGCAGAAGAATTGGTCCACGCTTTTGTTGCCTCTAGGCTAGATTACTGCAATTCCCTATTATCAGGTAGCTCTACTAAGTCTTTAAAAACTCTCCAGCTAATTCAGAATGCAGCGGCATGTGTACTGACAGGAACTAAGAGGCTCCCTGTAAAATATAGAATTGAATTTAAAATCCTACTTCTAACTTATAAAGCTCTAAATGGTCAGGCTCCGTCATATCTTAGAGGCCCCATAGTGCCATATTATCCCACCAGAACATTGCGCTCTGAGAATGCAGGGTTACTCATGGTCCCTAACTGTGCATTCACACCAAAAGCGTCATGAGCGTCATAAGCGGCCGGCAGCCATTCATTTTCAATGTACGCTTGCTACGAAGGGCGTCAGGGGCGTTGGCTGCAGCGAGCGGCGTGATGCCAGCGACCAGAGCATCAAGTAGAAGTTGAGAGAAGCTGAACTTTATGCAAATGAGCAGCGCCGCTGCCAAAGCAGCAGCCAATTGCAGACCGGGATTCGGGTATGGAGGTCTAGCCTCTCCCGGAGCTGTACGAGCCGGTGAAATTCACCGTGGAGTTGCCGGGTTTGCAGGACTCTCTGGACCCAGACAGCCCGACGGCTCCGGGCCCTGTGTTTCCTCAGCAAATACGCCGATGCAGTACAAAGGAGGCTTCCGAAAGTGCGATTAATGAGCTCCCGCTTATTTACCACCAATTACATTTCTCAGTGGTCCTATGTGCCAACAGGAGAATAAAATCATAATTATAAAGGACTCATAAAGGCTATATTGACTGTGTTCATTAGCGTTATTTTAATTGTGCAATGAAAGTCATGGATAATACAAAGTGAAGACATAAATGATATATTTGTACATCCTTGTAAAGTGAACAGCCGTGTTAGCCTTGATGGACACATCTGCCGGCCCCACCCCTTCGGCCGCTGCAAGCGCCTGCTGGAGCTGCTGCCAGGCAGCGCGATGCCAGCGACCTGAGCGACCGCTGGCGCTCATGATACTTTTGGTGTGAATGCACAGTAAAGTCTCCAAAAGTCCTTTTGAGCCTTCAGCTATCAGGCTCCTCTCCTGTGGAATCATCTTCCTGTTGCGGTCCAGGAGGCAGACACCTTCTCCACATTTAAGACTAGACTTAAGACTTTCCTCTCTGATAAAGCTTATAGTTAGGGCCAGCTCAGGCTTGCCTTGTACCAGCCCCTAGTTAGGCTGACTTAGGCCTAGTCTGCCGGGGGATCTCCTATAATACACCGAGCACCTTCTCTCCTTCTCTCTCTCCTTTGGTAACACTCATGTCCTGTTACTGCATCTCGCTAATTTGGCCGTACTGCATGTCACTAATTCGGCTTCTTCTCCAGAGCCTTTGTGTTCCACTGTCTCGCAGGTTAACTTATATCGCAGTGGTGCCTGGATAGTGTGATGTGTGTGGTTGTGCTGCTGCCGTGGACTTGCCAGATGCCTCCTGCTGCTGCTGTTATCATTAGTCATACTTCTATTATTTTATTATACACATATGATTATTGGCACATATGTATACTATCATATATATACTTTCAACATATTGTACCACAATAGCCGTAATTATAATTATAATATTATTACTTTCATTAATGTTGTTGTAAGCTACTGTCATTACCGTCGGTCCGGCATCTCCCTCTGTCTCTGTCTTTCTGTTAATTGTGTCATGCGCATTACTGCTAATTTATCATGTTGATCTGTTCTGTATGACATCTATTGCACGTCTGTCCATCCTGGAAGAGGGATCCCTCCTCAGTTGCTCTTCCTGAGGTTCCTACCATTTTTTTCCCCCGTTAAAGGTTTTTTTTAATTTATTTATTTATTTTATTTTGTAGTTTATCCTTATCCGCTGCGAGGGTCCAAAGGACAGAGGGATGTCGTATGCTGTAAAGCCCTCTGAGGCAAATTGTGATTTGTGATATTGGGCTTTATAAATAAAATCGATTGATTAATTAATTAATGTAACTGTATGTAATGAAACTCAACACTGAATATGTTAAATGAATAAAATTGACACTTAATAGAATAAATCATTACTATTAAACAGTGTACACTTATCTACACTACACTACAGAACCTCCATTAATCGTGCGATTTAAATGTGAAAAGTCTCATTGACTGACCGTCACCTGTGTGTATGTAGAGAAGGAGAGGGGCCGAGGGAGCGGAGCTGTGGAAACATCCTGCAGTCTGACATACTATCATGCGTTTAACTAACTCATTAGACTAGCTATATTCTAGGCATAAACCAAATAGGATGATGTGTATAACATATACATATCACTTCAGAAATATGTAAGCTCCTTACATAAGTCCTTTAAATCCTTCCACCTGGATGCAATTCTCAGAGTCAGCAGGGATTCAAAACTCAGCAGTAAAACAGTAAGTTCCTTTTGGCCTACCAAATTCATCAACTGAAGGCTAGGGTAATCAACCACACGAACTTGACACCCAAACCATTGTGTGTCCATTCCTCAATTATTCTATTTCTTATCGTGCCCTACAGCCCAACAATCAAAATAATTTTTCGTTCATAAAAATGAATCCAAGTTGTGAAAATTGTTTTAAGAGGATAAAGACAGGAGTTCTGTTGGTATACTGGGTGCCATAAAATGAGAATTGTAATACTCAGTCACTCAGAGCATGAGCTTGGCCTTCATTTGTTCTATAGGACAAAAAACATGCACCATTTTTCAGAGGGCTGGACTTCTGGTAAAATTTTGTGTTAAAGGAGTTAAAGGCTCATATAGAGACCCATTCAAAATATACGCCACCTGAGCTCAGTCATTGAAGAAAATGAAACCTATTGATTTAAGTTTTATGGTATTTCCCCTTGTTGCATTTATGGTTGCTTGAAATATGAGCAACGCTTTTTTACTGAACTGAATTTGCCTTAAAAACAACTCAGTTTTCATGGGATTGTGTGGTTCTGCTCCTGTGATAGATAATGTCTAATTTTCAGGAAAAATATGCATCCCTAGTTAGCACTATTAGCTGCCAGCTGCCAGTTCAACCACCTTCATGTTGAGAACCGTGTGCAGATAATCCTGCCCCGGACTCTAAATCACAGATATGCTCTAAATGTAGCATTAAGTGTCTGATTAAGTTGTCAATTACACTGCCCAATCCTTTTAGGTGGACAACCAATTTTCCTCTGCAGTATATTTTTTGTGCTACGCATTTTTAATCTCACCTGTCTTTGCATCTGGTCTTGGACACTCTGCAAGAAGATGGTCATCTCACCCACTTTGGCTGTGGCTGTCCTCAAGTCAGCCTTGGCCTGCCTACACCAGGAGGACAGAGAGAGAATAACAGTTCAAGCATATAACATAGAAACCTGGCTTCAATCTTGAATTTGTACTCTTACTTGGTTATTACAAAATACTTCCACATTTGGATTATAGGGTTGAACTTGTAGTGATGTTGATAGGATTGCCATGTAGTGAGTCTCTGGGAACCACAGGTGGTCCTTTGATTGGGTCCCAAGGAAATTAATGGATCCTAGAGATGCACAATCATGGCTAAAATGATAATCTAAGACCCATTAAGATCAGAAATGTCTGTCCTAATATCCTACATATTCATTAAGTCATTGTATAAACAAAAACAAAAAAAAAAAAATAGTTATTGTCTTCTAGGAGTCCTTGGGGACCTCCGTGTCATGCCGCAAACACTGCCACCTCCGTGCACAGAGCTTCAGAGAGTCAGGAATGTTGGTGGGCAGGCAGGTGTCACATCTGTGCATAGCACCAGAACAAAAACACCAACACATAACTGACAGTATGAGAATGCATCCAAAACACAAGATTCACTCTTACCGCTTTCTGTGACATGGGAAAAACTTTCACAACAAGTCACATAACATCACTATTTTCTACGATTGTTGTTGACAATGAGTGTCATTACATGAACATGAATAACCCATTGATTACGAGGCTTATTCCGGTTATGATCATATTTGGGAAATGGTGTTAACATGAACACAGAGAAAGTGGGTAATTCATGTTCTCCATAAACATTGCTGTTTCTGTCAGAGTACTCTAGCTAGCACATCTGGGTTTCCCATTAACAGAATATGGTGTTTACTGTACATGCTCAAACACATTGATGGGATACTCCAAAAACCCGATCATAAATGGGTTATTCATGTCCAAGCAAATGCACTCAATGTGGCGTTATCAAAAGAAATAACAGGGTGCATCCCACTGACACATCAATAGTGACCTTGTCTGATCACTGAACTAGTGCTGGGTGGTATACTAATTCATTTGGTATAGCGGTTGTAACTGCTGCAACTCTTCATCAGGCAGCAAAACATATTATAGTGTTCATCACGAAGAGCCAGAGGATGGAGGAAGTCACACATGTGCCAGTGGAGGGGATGGGAGTAGATCTTTTCCTGACCTCCTGGATAACAGACAACTTGACAGAGCGACCTCAGTATGTCCTCAGGATTTGATTTGAGTTTATTCAAGGAAAGCAAGTATAACAGAAGCATAGCAACAAATGAACAGGAAAAAAATAAATGAAAGAGACTGAGTGAAAATGCACATATTCGAAAAGGAGTGAGAAGTAAAAAACTGGTTTGGCTGTTTTCATTTTGTGTGGAAATGAACCAGTTTGAAATGATAAGTAACATATGTGTGCAAATGGTGTTGAGATACCTTTGATGACTGTCTTTAGTAGTGGCATGTCGATATCTTTGACATCAGTAGACTTCTTGTTCTTAAAGTTTTTCACAATGTCCAAAATTTCATTTTCTTTTACTGCGTTCAAAAACATCAAGCAAGTATTTCTCTCTATTAAACTTAAATTTACCGGGGCGTCTGTGGCTTAGTGGTAGAGCAGGTGCCCCATGTACAAGGCTGTTGCCACAGTGGCCCGGGTTCGACTCCAGCCTGTGGCCCTTTGCTGCATGTTACTCCCTCTCTCTCTCTCCCCCTTTAACACTTGTCTGTCCTGTCAAATAAAGGCTAAAAAATGCCCCCAAAAATATCTTAAAAAAAACAACTTAAATTTACCTTTAATGTCCCTGGGTCTGTAATTTTTCCTGCTAGCTCCAGTCCTACATGTACAAAGAATTCATTAAACCTATTTGCTACATCATCCATGTTATACTTTTCAATATCCTTAGCAATAAAAAATTTAGGTAAATTATTTTGTCTAGAGCCATCTTTTATGATGTTGTTTAGTATATTCCATAGTCCTTTAATATTATTTTTGTTATAATTTAATATCCCCTTAAAATACCCCTTCTTACTACCCCTTACAATACTAGTTAATTTGTTTTTATATTTTTTTATATTTATTTTCTGCATCTTTAGTTCTCTGTCTTATGAAATCTCTATAAAATGTATTTTTCTTTTTACAGGCATTTTGTAGCCCTTCAGAAATCCATAGACACTTATGATATGCTATTTTTCTGTTAAATCTTTGAATTGGACAATTTTCATCTTATAGAGAGCAAAATATTCTTAAGAATTCTTCATATGCACTCTTAACATCTTTTTCTCAGTTCTGTTCCAATTTTAGTGTGTTCATAGCTTCTTCTGTTCTTACTTGTCTGTATTCCATTTGATTATTTAAATCATTTCTAAAAGTGCAATCACAGACTGTAAAAACTGGCAGGTGGTCACTAATATAACTTATTAATAAACCGCTTACTGTATTGTTATCAATGTCATTGGTGAATATATTGTCAATAAGAGTTGTACTGTGAGAGGTGATTCTGCTGGGTCTCGTGATTTTGGGGAATAAGCTCATGCTGTACATTGTGTCAATAAATTCATCTGTAGGTTTATGCTTATTATGATTTAACAAGTCAATATTGAAAAATAAAAATAGTCTTGTTACTTTTGGTGGATAATTGATAATTTGCCCTTTGATTTAATGATCTCATTGTATTGTTCATCAGTGTAGTAGCAACAGTCATTGTTTATGGTGTTAAAGAAGTTACTGTCCGGGTCTATGTCTTGTTCCAAGTCCAGTATGTAGTGATCCGTGTATTCAAATGTTCTCAGTTGCAGTTGTTCATATTCACTTATCCTCCGTGTAATGTGATTTTTGTCTCTTGATGTAGTGTGAGTTCTGTCAGTGTGCGTCATCATGGTGTTCTTGTGTTTGTTACCTCAGAGCGCAGTCCAGCACAGTCCATTCCACTGTAATCTGTCCAGATCTTGGTGATCACTGTACAGTACCATCCGGTTCATAACAGTCATTGATATTCATCCAGTTCCGTGATGTTTCTGATGCAAAACACTTTGGCTTCTTCTGGGGTTCCGTTTAGTTAATGAATATTTTACAGTTGGATGTTCAGGTGTTTTGTATTTTTTGTTTCCTGAGTTGGCGTGCTTTTCTGGCTATGCCAGCATTCTGTTTCGTTCGGTGCTCATTTATGAATACATCTGTTCCTTGTAACTTCTGTCCTTGTTTCAGTGGTGCTGTTTTGTGTTTTCTATTGACAAACCTCAGTATGACGGATGGTTTGTCACTGGTGTTTCTCCGTGGAAGAGGGTGGCATGCTTCGATGTTGTCACAGTCCAACTTTATTCCCTTGGACTGGAGGAACGCAGCCACTTGTTGCTTCACAGAGATCACATCTAACCGTCTCTGTGTAAGAGCTCAAGCGACTTTTTAATGCCACTGATGTCTTCCATCGCCGGATTCTTCTTGGGACCCATGTCCCTCCTTAATACTAATACTCTGTCTGTGTGTGTTCAAAGTGGTAAGAAAATGAAGCAGTGGCGTCTGCTCTGTCCGAGTCCTCTGGAGAAAACACACCTGCTGCTCGAGCCCGACTTCACCTGTCACACCGTCACTTCCCTGTTGGCACTCATGAGCCAGGTAGCCAGAAACATGACTCCAAATGAATGACAACATTGCTCCATAAATTTGTTCACAGACTGGCAGAATCAGAACCATCCTCACTTGCTCATTTATGAATACATCTGTTCCTTGTAACCTCTGTCCTTGTTTCAGTAGTGCTGCTTTGTGTTTTCTATTGACAAACCTCAGTATGACGGATGGTTTGTCACTGGTGTTTCTCCGTGGAAGAGGGTGGCATGCTTCGATGTTGTCACAGTCCAACTTTATTCCCTTGGACTGGAGGAACGCAGCCACTTGTTGCTTCACAGAGATCACATCTAACCGTCTCTGTGTAAGAGCTCAAGCGACTTTTTAATGTCACTGATGTCCTCCATCGCCGGATTCTTCTTGGGAACCATGTCCCTCCTTAATACTAATACTCACAATGTCTGTGTGTGTTCAAAGTGGTAAGAAAATGAAGCAGTGGTGTCTGCTCTGTCCGAGTCCTCTGGAGAAAACACACCTGCTGCTCAAGCTCGACTTCACCTGTCACACCGTCACTTCCCTGTTGGCACTCATGAGCCAGGTAGCCAGAAACACAACTCCAAATGAATGACAATGTTGCTCCATAACTTTGTTCACAGACTGGCAGAATCAGAACCATCCTCACTTGTTTGCAAACGTTTTACACAAATCTGCCCAGTTGAAGTGTTCAGACGTCGCTCTGCTCACAGCGTCACTACTTCTATGTTCCAGTCATTCACCTCTCGTGAATTTCACTTTCATCAGCACTGGTGCTCCACAGGGAACTGTTTTAACACCATTCCTGTCCACACTCCAGAAGGTGGACTTTAAGTACAACTCAGAGTCCTGCCACATACAAAAATACTCTGACAATACAGCTATTGTGGCGTGTATCAGGAGCAATCAGGAGCAGGAGAAGATGGGCCTTGTTGATGCCTTCAGGAACTGGCGCAGTAAGTGCTGTCTCCACCTGAACACAGCCAAAACCAAGGAGATGAAGGTGGGTTTCAGAAGAAAGAGGTCACCCAACCAACCAGTCTCAATACAGGGGGAGGACATTGAGGTGGTCCACACTTACAAATATCTGGGGGTCCTCTTGGATGATAAATGGGACTAGTCCGACAGAGGAGCAGCTGCAGCAGTTGGCTCATCTCACTGCATTGCAGAGCGGAGCGTTTCAGGAGATCCTTCGTCTCCACAGCAATAAGACTGTTTAACACCTCCTGAATCCAGTCGCTCACACACATCACCTTAGCCACAACTGGACTGTGGAATGAGCAATTCTAATTTAATTAGGGTCTGGGCAGCTAAGCTGTCGGGACACTATCGTAATCCTAGGTATTCTTCTTTCTTCTTTTGAGGAAATCATACTTCCCATGGATGAAAACTCACCAAACTTTGCACAAAGGTCCAGTCTCATGCCAGATATCCTCAGCTGTAAACTCAAGCCAATAGT